TTCTCGCCCGTAAGTACTTTGTTCTCGCCCGTAAGTACTTTGTTCTCTCCAAACTTTGGTGTCAATCTGCAAGGTTACTATGGAACTGTAGAAGTTTATGGCATGGTGGGAGGCTATTGTTGCCATCATATATGTTGGCTGTTTGCTAGAAAAATTCCAAATAAATTAGACTTGGTTAAGCAATGCTGTTACTTGTTTGTTTTCTTCATACAGAGCCAGTTCATAAATCAGAAGCCAAACTTGTAGATGGAATGTGTCAAAATATGATTCTGCAGGGAGATTATGTCTTCAGTTGGAAAGGAAATGTGATCACTAATGTTACTTTGCTTGTCACAGTGGGAGATGTTCCCTTAGATTATCCAGGTAGGACATTCCTCCATTTATTTTATCCATTTTTGTGGGGAGATGACGCCTAGCGGAATTATCCAAGGTAATGTTCTGGGGATCTGTGTTTGAATCCTGCCGTGGCAGGTGGTGGAATTTGAAATCAGTAAAAATCTAGAATTAAGAGTCTAATGACGACCACAAATCCATTGTCAATTGTTGAGAAAAACCCAGCTGGTTCACTTATGTCCTTTTTAGATAAGGAAACAACCATTCTTACCTGGTCTGGCCTGGCCTACTCGTGACTCCAGACCGACAGCGACGTGGTTAGCCCTTAACTGCCCTCTGGGCAATTGGGAATAGGTGATAAATAATGGCCTAGCTAGTGATGCCCTCATCCTGTGAATGAATTAAAAAATTATGGTAACTATTTTATGTACAGGGATTTACATGATAAATTTGGAAATGTGTGAAATGATAAACAGACTGTGACAGGAAGGGATAGTTAGAAGAAACCCAAGAGTGAATCAATAAGTGAGGATCAAGGTTACAAAACTAACAAAAGAATAAAACTGAAGGCACTGTATCTGGATGCATGTAACGTTCGAGGCAAAACAAAACTGATCGTCCAAACAGAAAGTGCTAAGTACCGTCTGATAGCTATTGCAGAGATATGGCTGCAAGAAGACTTGGATTGGGATCTGAATGTTTAAGGGTACAGAATATTTAGGAAGAACAGGATGTGTGGAAGAGATGGAGGGGTTGCTCTGACAATTAATAATGGAATTAGTACAATTGAAAGGGATGACCTAAATTCATAACATTTGGATGCAGGAGCAGTTTGGTAAACATGAGAAATTATAAAGGCAAGGAATTATTTGTGTGCAAGTCAGGTATAGACCCTTACAAGTAACCACAAGTAACTTGAGAGAGCGAAGTGTGGCAATTTCAGAACGGGACAGGTTAGAGTGGTGCTCTCAGGTCCACCCTAACTTTGGTGCTGTTTGAGTCTGGTGCACTGATCTTTACCTTATGGAGGCTCAGTGCTGATTCTTGGACACTTCTTCTTCCTACCGATCCCTGGATCATGAGCCTACATCCAAACATCATTCCATTGTTTCCAGGACTGTCACCGACCTCATTGCCTCCGGAGATCCCAACCCCCCACCCAATCGCCTCCAACCTTGTAGCCTCCCAACCCTGGACAGCCTGCTTCTACCTCCTTCCCAAAATCCACAAACCAGACTGCCCCAGTAGGCCCATCATATCAGCCTGTTCCTGCCCCACTGAGCTCATTTCCTCCTACCTTGACTCCATCCTATCTCCGCTTGTCCAGACCCTGCCCATCTACATTGTGATTCCTCCGATGCCCTCCACATTTTGACAATTTCCAGTTCCCTGGTCCTAACTGCCTCCTGTTCACCATGGATGTCCAGTTCCTTTATACCTCCACATCCACGAGGATGGTCTGTGAGCTGTCGGCTTCTTCCTCGACCAGAGGCCTGAACACTCCCATCCACTACCACTCTCCTCCGTCTGGTACATTGATGACTGCTTCGGTGCCACTTCATGCTCCTGCCAGGACCTTGAAAAATGTGTTCATTTTGTCTGCAATTTCCACCCCACTATAAGTTTCACATCATCTATTTCCGATGTTTCCCTTTCTTTCCTTGACCACTCTATCTTCATTTCGGGGAATAAACTGTCCACTGCCATCCATTACAAAGCCACTGACTTCCATAGCTACCTTCACTGCAGCTCTTCACACCCCACATCCTGCAAGGATTCCATCCCATTCTCCCAACTCCTTCACCTACATTGCATCTGTTTAGATTATGCCTCCTTCCAAAACAGCATTGCTGACATGGCATGCATCTTCCATAATTATGGTTTCCCACCCATTGTGGTTGACAGGGCCCTCAACCGTATCCGAACTAATGCCCTTGCTTCTGCCCTTGCCCTTTCCCAAGACTCTCAACAGCGTGATTGGGTCCTCACTTTTCATCCCACCAGCCTCTGCATTCAAAGGATCATTCTCCACCATTTCAGACAACTCCAATAGAACAACTCCACCAAACGCATCTTCCCCTCACTCTCCCGTTTGTATCTTGCAGAGATTTACGCCCTACCAACTATAATATAAATGCTGTCCTCCCCACACTTCACTTCAGCTCTGATAAAGAGTCATCTAGACTTGAAATGTAAGCTTGCTGTCTCTCCGTGGATGCTGTCTGACCTGCTGTGATGGCTAGCATTTGTTGTTTTAAGTGCTAGAGATGGATGGGAACCAGTAAATATACTATGCTGATTACCAGGAGGTTTTGAAAAGTGCCACGTCAAAGGTTATTATGGAAAATGAAAGCTTATGCTGTATGAGATAACATATTGGCTAGGATAGAAGATTGGCTAGCTAACAGGATACAGACAGTAGGCATGAATGGATTACTTTCTGGTTGGCAAGATGTAATGTGTGGTGTGCCACAGCAATCTGTGTCAGGGCCTCGACATGTCTCAATTCGCACTAATGACTTGGGTGATGGGACAGAAGGTGGTGAAAGCAGAGTATTTGAATATTATTTTTAAGGCAGTGGTGGACAGCTGCTTCGTAAGTTAGGGTGTGAACCCAAATTGGGATAGGTGAGTATGTGGAATAATCAAATCAGCCAAGATCTTAAAATTGCAGAGCAGTCTTAACTGGTCATTTGGCCCACTCCTGCTCCAAATTCCTGTATTCCTATTTGAGTTCGGTCATTTAGTGTTAGCTTGTTTTACACTTCCTTTGCTGATGGAATTTAGCTCCTGACGACCCTGCAGTCTGTGTTTGTCCGTCTCATCTCAATCTCCATCTCAATCTCAATCTCAATCTCTTCCTTTCTAGCTACTTTGACTCAAAGATTCAGTGCGACTTTCATTAACTTCAGAAATGACCAGCCACCCAATGTGACTCGGTCTGGAAACCCAGGTGAGAGAGCAGTTTACTGCATCTACTTGCATCATATTCTGGACAAGTTTCATTGCTGTAAGTGGGGTTTGTGTCTTGTACTTAAATGCAAGTACAAAAAGTCAATTTTTTGCTGCAAGCTAATTTTAAGTTAACTTTTGTGGGAGGACAAAGTTTTCAGAGTGACCAGGAGGTGGAATTTACAAATGTCCAATAATTTGAAATGTTCTTTCGTTGAAGGCATAGCAATTAGCTTCTAAATCTACTTCGATTACTTTCTCATGGGGGTTTATAGGAACGTAGGAACAGGAATAGGCCAGTCAGCTCCAGCGAGCCTTTGCAAACCTGAGCTCTTGAGTTTGTGATGATAATTGTAGGTTGGAAAGTAGAACATCAATTTATGTGTTTATCTGAAATGTTCCACACTGCAGATATTATGTCCCATTTAAAAAGGAGGAAAATGATAAACGTAGGTACTGCAGGCCAGTCAGCCTAATATTGATGGTCAGAAAACTTCTAGAGTCTGTACTCCAGGACAAAATTAATTGACATTTGGCAAAATTGACTAATAAATTATGTAAAATAGTGCAATAGTCTTGGGTTTACAGGACAGTTTCAAAGTTACAACTACAAAACGGGCATTTAACTGACCATTTTGATAATTGCCCAGGTATGTCTTGTTAAAAATGCAGGCCTGATTTAACCCAGCCAGTTTGCATCCCATCAGTCTTTAAATTATTGAAGTGATGAAAAATGGTGTTGACAGTGCAATCATGCAGCAGTTATTGTGATTAGATGGAAATTTGGAATTCAAAACAGAAACAGATTAGCCATGAGATCAGTCATAATCTTATTGAATGGCAGAACAGGTTTGAGGTGCTGAATGGTTGACTTCTCGTATTTTATGTGTTTGTACATTTATTTGCTTGGTCACAGAAGACAGTTCGGTGCAGTGGAAGGGTGTTTTTCCGACTGGACATCTGTGACCAGTGCGCTGTTCCTTAGGGATCAATGCTGGGATCCCTGTTGCAACATATGTGACTTGGAAGAGTATGTAGGTAGTCTGAGCAAGTTTTCAGATGACACAAAGATTGGGAGAGGTGCGGATAGTCAGGAGGATTGAGGATGCAGCAGGGTATAGATAGGTTGGAGACTTGGGCAGAGAAATGGCAGGTGTAGTTTAACCTAGACACATGTGAGGTGATGCAGCTTGGAAGGTCTAATGCAGCAGAAAAGTGTATGGTAAATGGCAAAACTCTTGGAAACGTTAACATACAGAGGGATTTAAGCGTTTAGATCCACAGTTCTCTGAACTGGCAACACGTGGATAATATGGTCAAGAAGGGGTGTGGCATGCTTGCCTTCATTGGCTGAGGTACGGAGTATAAAAGTTGGCAAATCATGTTTCAGCTGTATAGAACTTTAGTTTGGCCACATTTGGAATATTGTCTACAGTTCTGGTTGCCATACTACGAGAAGAGTGTGGAGGCTTTAGAAAGGGTAAAGAAAATGTTTATCAGGATGTTGCCTATTTTGTTCGGTAGTAGTTATGAGGAGGGATTGGAAAAAAAACTGTTTGTTTTGACTTTAATGTCAGAGACTGAGGGGTGGCCTGATAGTTTTATAAAATTATAACGGAATTAAAAAATTTTCCAGGGTAGAAATGTCAGTTACTAGGGGTCATAGGTTTAAGGTAAAAGGGGTAAGTTAAAAGAGATGTGAGAGGCAAGGTTTTTACACAGGGGGTGGTAAATGCCAGAGGATGTAGTAGAGGCAGACAGTAGCAATATTTAAGAGGTGGCTTGACAGATATATGAATAGACCGGGAATAAAGGGATATGGACCCTGTACGTGCAAAAGTTTTTTTTTTTTAGTTTTGAAAGGTGTCCTGTATTGGCGCAGGCATGGTGGGCTGAAGGACCTGTTCCTGTGCTGTACTGTTCTTTGTAACATGCTCACCGATCCTCAGCGTGGATTCCACCAAGGCTAGGCTGTTCAATCCAAGTCTGCTTTGGCTGATAAGTAGCAAGTAATATTAGTACCACGCAACTATCAGAAATTGACCATCTCCAGCAACGAGAGAATTAGTGCATTTTCACTTTACGTTCAACAGATTTTTATTGCTGAATTCCCTATTATCAATATCCTGGTTGTTACAATTGACCATAAACTGAATCAGACCAGCTATATTTAAATACGGTGGCAGTAAGAACAGGTGAGAGGCTTGGAATTCTGAGGTGAGTTACTTGCCTTCTGACTCCTGAAAGTCTGTTTGCTATAGACAGTACAATCAGGAATATGCTGAAATGCTCTCCACTTTCCTGGATGGGTGCAACTCAAAACTACCTCAAGAAGTTCAATAATGCCCACAACAGACCAGCCCATTTGTTTGACACTCCATTTGTCCCTTTGCATATTCACTTTTGCCTACTATCAGACAGCAATGTGTCCCATCTTCAAGGTGCACTTCAGTAACTCACTAACAGCATATTCCAAATCAGTGACCCCTACGATTTAGAAGGACAAGGACAGGAGAAGCACAGGCCATCACTTGTAAGTTCTCCTCCAAGATGCACACCACCCTGACTTGGAACTGTCTAGTTATTCCTTCACTGTTGCTGGATCAACTTCCTGGAGCTGTCTTCTCAACAGCACTTCATCATAGAATCATAGAACCCCCACAGTGTGGAAACAGGCCATTCAGCCTAACAAGTCCACACCGACCCTCCGAAGAGCATCCCACCCTATTCCTGCAACCCTGCACCTCCTCATCCACCTAGCCTACACATCCCTGGACACTACAAGCAATTTAGCATGGCTAATCCATCCAACCTGCACATCTTTGGACTGTGGGAGGAAACCAGACCTCCCGGAGGAAACCCACGCAGGTGTGGGAAGCATATGCAAACTCCATACGGACAGTTGCCTGAAGCTTGAATCGAACCCTGGTCCCTGGTGCTGTGAGCCTACCAGTGCTAACCACTGAGCCACCGTGCTGCACCAAGCCACTTTGGATGTCACATCAGCTTGTCAGCTTGTCACCTTCTCTAGGGTGATTAAGGATGCTGACATTGACTGCAGGTTCGCACTTTAAGAACGAATGAAAAAAACTTGGTCTTCAATTATTTGAAGAGATTTATGAAGCTGGGGTTGTCCCAGAAAGACCAGCAAAACTAGGAGGATGTTCGATGCAGCTGTTTATAGAGTTGTCAGTAGTTTTTGTAATAAGGAAATAAAGATGAGCTATTTCTAATGAGACTAGGTCACACAATCACACAATACCAGATTATAGTCCAACAGGTTTATTTGAAAACGCAAGCTTTCGGAGCTCAGCCCCTTCCTCCGGTATACCCCAGTCCAACACTGGCATCTCCACATCACATCTAATGAGACTGGTATTGGTAACCAGAGGATAAAGAGTTAAAGCGATTGGTAGGAGAAATAGAAGCAATATGAGGACTTTTCGTAATCTGGAGTGCAATGCCTGAAAGAACAGTGAGACAAGATTCGGTTATAACTTTGAGGAGGGAATTGGATAAATACTGAAGGGAGAAGCTGAATAGGGTTACCTGGGAACAGTAGGGGAGTGGAACCAATTGAATATTTCTTCATAGGAGCTGGAACAGGCCTGGTGGTGGAATGACCTCTTTCTGTGCTCTTCAGCGGAGATAGTGGCATCAGAGGCTATGTTGGTGGTAATCCAGCAATCTCGCTAATGCACCAGAGATGCATGTTCATCATACCAGCACAGCAGTGGGATTTAAATTCAATGAATGAAAATAACTAGAATTGAAAGTGAGACTCAGTAATGGCAGCATAAAACTATCATCGATTGTCAAATCTCTGTCTTGTTCACTAATGTCCTTTGGGGAACTAAATTTGCATCTTTGTGTGATTATAGTCTGCATGTGATTATTGACCCACAACAATGTAGTTAATTTTTAACTGTCCTGTGAAATGGCCAAATAAACCACTCAGTTTAGGGGTAATTTGGGACGGGCAACGGCGTGCACATAAAATGCCGATTAAGCAAATGTGAGTCTAGCTTTCAATTCTAGATATTATATTGCTTGCACTGTCGTTTCGGGTAATGCTTTCCAGATCATGAAAAGTGATTGTGATAATAAAAAAAATTGTTCTTTAATTTTAATTGTGACCATCTGTGAAATATGCAAATGATGTAATCTGTTGTGATGCATCTATTGATTTCAGGTTATCAGATTGGCAAGCCTGTTTTAGGTGCTTTTGAAAATGGCAACACCTTACAAAAGGCTCCTGTAAGCATATGGCGACCAGGTGATATATTTTCCTGTGGAATTTGGAAGAGCAAACATATTTTTCACCCACTTCAGGGAGTGGAGTCATGAAATTTAATGGATCATATAGTGCACTGTAAATGCTGATGCTGTGTTTCCCTCATATCGGTGAATTAGCAGATTTCCTGTCAAGAACAGAGCTAAAAATCTATGTAAATGATAAGTTGGAGAATGAGGAAGCTGGAAAGCTTTAAACAGGTGTGTTCTGAGCGAATGAGTGAAATTTCCCATCAGCTGAAATGCAAAGTTTGCTATTTTCTTATTGCTGACTAAAATTTTGCTGAATACTCCTGTAAATACCTTGAGGTATTAAAGCATAATTTTATATTTGTGCAGTATTGAAATATACTAGGACACTATCCTATTGTGCTGTCCTTGTCTGTGTCTACAACCCTATTCCACTGCTTTTTTTTTTAAAACAATTCATTCACGGGATGTGGGCATCGCTGGCTTGGCCAATGTTTATTGCCCATCCCTAATTGCCCAGTGGCCAGTTAAGAGTAAACCATATTGTTGTGGTTCTGGAGTCACGTAGTCCAGAGCAGGTAAGGATGGCAGTTTCCTTCCCTAAAGGGACATTAGTGAACCAGATGATTTTTTTTCTTAATAATTGACGACAGATTTATGACCATCATTAGACTCTTAATTTCAGATTTTTATTGAATCCAAATTCCACCATCTGCCTTGGCAGTATTTGAACCCAGATCCCCACAACGTTACGCCTCCTCATGTGACCTACTGTATTCCACTTGCCGTCCTCAAGCACAGCTGATTTTATCACTGCCAGTCCACTGAGGGAGTTCTTTCTTCAGTTTCTGGATACTCGATTGTCAGGTCTGCTGATTAGAAGTGGCTTAATAAGAGGTGACCAAGAACTGACCACACTCTAGAGCCTATAGCATTAGTTCAGAACATATCGAGCTGAATTTGAAAGGACTTTTACTGACATTTTGCTAATGTGGTTACTTTAAATAACTTCCCGCATGCGTGCATTTTTAAAATAACTATTTGTCCCTTTTTTGCTTTGTAGTTGGAAATGGGTTGTGCTCATCAGCTCAAACAACATCGGTGTTGTTTGGAAAGAACTCAATCTCTGGTTGCCTGTTGAGACTTGGCATCAATACTTTTGATGACTGTATTGGTCTTAGGTGTGTATCTTGCCCTCGCATGATTCTGTAAACCATACAATAAAATGTCAATGTTTATTATGAAGAAATCTGGAATACTTATGGAATTGCAGGCTATGTCGCAGTCAGAATTTACCCCAATGTCTGCATGTATTGTAGTTTATTCTTGCCTTTTTTTTAAAAGCATTAACTTGTAATTAACTAAACTGTACATGGGTATCCAAAAACTTGCTTTTTAAAGTGAAAATGGAAGGACCAAGATGGTTAAGATAGTGGCAACTGTGGCGCAACATGAGTGCTATACTACTAGAGGTACTGAGACTGAATGTGGGTACATCTACTGTTCTGTAGGGCTGTGAGAAGACAGGCAAATGTGTTGACACAGACGATCTAACACCGGTTCTTGAATGGTTCACAGAGACACTGGAGAAGGACACTAATTTTCCTCAACTGTAAAGGGCTGAAGTATCCTCATTGTATAAATATAAAAAATTAAATGGTGAAAAAAAACTTTTTAAAATTCTTTTCCAATCCTGAGAATATTTCAAAGTGCTTCACAGGCCAAATTGGTACTTTTTGCACTGCTGGCATTATAGTGTAGGGAAAAAAATATTAAAAGCAAGCCGTATTAAGTATGTTACCATATTTTAAATCTGCAGCACCAGTTCAGAAATGTAAGGGCTGTAAAATTAAGACTTAAAGCAGCTATTTTTAGCTTTCTTCTTACTTCCACCTGCATATTCCTTGGAACTTTGTTGTTTCAGAGATGATAGAAGCTGAGATTATTCTCCTGAGAGCAGAGGGCATTAAGTGCTGATTTAGCAGGTTTATTGCATATGCACATATGAATTAGGAGCAGGAGTAGACCATTAAGACTCTTGAGCCTGCTCTGCCATTCAATAAGATCATGGCTGACCTGACTGTAACCTCATCCATATTCCCACCTACTTTTGATAATCTTTCAACCCCGTTGCATAACAAGAACCAATCCAGCTCTGTCTTAAACATATTCAAGGACTGTGCTTCCAGCACCTTTTTGAGGAAATGAGTTCCAAAGATTCTCAGCCTTCTGAGAGGGGGGAAAAAAAGCCTAATCTCTGTTTCAGATAAGTGATCCCTAGACTCTTCAGGATTTTATGCATTGTTCAAGCCTCTTCTAAACTCCAACGGGTACAAGTCTAGCCTGTCCAAACTTTACTCAAAAGGCAACCCGGCCATTCAAAGTATTAGTTTAGTAAACCTACTCTGAATTCCCTCCAATGCAATTAAAACATTTTTTAAATAAGGTGACCAATACTATGCACAGATGCTCACATGCAGTGTCATTGCTGCCCTGTGCAATTGAAGTGCAACCTCCCTCCTTTTGTTCTCAATTTTCCTCTCAATAAGCAATAACATTCCATTTGCCTTCTGGATAACTTGGTTGTAGGGGTGACCTGTACCTGGCCATGTAAGGTGACTTGTACCTGACCACACTAAGCAGCCCATATCTGCTTACAAGATGGCAGACAGAAGCTAAGCAAAACTAAGCAGCCTGCTCACACAGTGAAATACAATGGTACCTTAGAACAGAACTGCTAGAAGGTCAGTAAAAGAATGCTGTATGTTGCCATTTGAGACAGTTCTGATAAAAGGATGCCTTAGGACAGATAAATGACCAATTCTAGCCTTATTAATGAAAGGATGATTGTCCCAGTAAATGATAACATCAGGTGCTAGATTAAGTCCTTAAGCAGCTGAACGGCTAACAGCTAAAGTTATTTCGGAGTTAATAATTTCCTCTTTGAAGCTACCTGCAATATTAAACAGTTTCTAGCTAAAAATATTCTAATCATAGAAGGTGGTTTCAATACATAACCAGAATATGATACAAGCCTTAGAGAACATTTAAACTTAAATGTGAATGTTAACTAGCCTTAGGAGACGCCTGAACAAGATAGATTGATAACAGCCCATAAATTACAAAATGTCGATAGTAGAAGTAGTTGTATAATGTTACACTTATACACTTTATAGAAGTTAACCTCATGTCAGTTAAGTTTTAACTAATTGCTATTTTACTTTTACATTATGTAATTGGGACAGTGGGGAAAATAAAAAGAGTAACTGAATGGGATAAAAGACAGCACCAAAATTCAATGGGTAATAGAATTTGAGCTGTCCTTATAGATAAACAGGCCTGGGAAAGACCCAAACGAGTATAGCTATTAAGTTTTGGAATGTGAATGAATAGGATGCATTGAAAGATCCCAAGGCGCAGAGATTACAATGTCTAGCTAACACCATAAGATCGTGGGAACCTGGGGCTGTCTGTAGAAGTGCCCATTACTGATTAGGTGTCCCACAGGATTGGATGTTTGGATTAGGGGGAAGAACAGTGAATATGTTGCATTTGATTATTGTAACACAAAATGTATAAAAATGCTGTATTTCTTTGTAAAAGCAGAGGCATCTTTCGAAGCCAGATTCGGGGAAGATCCTTTAGCCCTCTCCCTCCATAAACCAGTTTCTGATGGAATAACCATCTTCCACGTGCCTGAATCCTGCCTGCCTCCCGAGTCTTTGTCCTGGATTGGGAGAAAGGCTCCTACCTGCATTCTAACCTTTTGAAATTCATGCATGAGGACACGCAGCGCCCTCTGCATCAGAGCTCTGACCATTTAAATAACGTGCTTCTTTATTCTTCCTGTCAAAATGGACAACTTCCCATTTTCCCACATTGTATTTCTTTTGCCACATCTTTGCCAACTCACTAAATTCATCAGTATCTTTTAGCAACTTCCTTGTGTCCTCTTCACAACTCACTTTCCCCAAATATTGTAACCATACCTTCCCTCCCCTTCGTAGAATCGTACAATCCCTTTAGTGCAGATCGAGGCCATTTGGCCTATCGAGTCTGCACTAACCCTCCGAAGAGCATCACACCCAGACCCACCCCACCACCCTGTCCCTGTAATCCTGTCCACACTAAGGCTAATCCACTTTGCCTGCACATCCTTAGACCCCATGGGGCAATTTAGCATGGCCAATCCACCTAACCTCCACGTTTAGACTGTAGGAGGAAACTGGACCACTTGGCAGAAACCCACACAGACACAGGGAGAATGTGCAAACTCCACACAGATGGTCACCCAAGTTTGGAATTGAATCTGGATTCCTGGTGCTCTGAGGCAGCAGTGCTAACCACTAAGCCACTGTGCCACCCCATCTAGGTCATTTTATATAAATTATAAAAACAGTTGAAGTTTCAGCACTGATCCATGTGGCACATAATTTTTTATATCTTGGCAGTCTCAAACATACCCATTTACACCTTCTGTCTGGTTCCTGTTAACCAGTCAATCTTTTATCCATGCCAGTATGCCAGCCCTACACTAGGAGCTCTTATTTTCTCCAATAACCT